AAACTAGAGAGTCATGGCATCACTGGCCGATTGGTTTCCTTACTTACTAGTTTTCTATCGAATCGCTCCTTCGCGGTTCGAATAGGCACATCCGTTTCTTCACCCTCCCCAGTCCCAATAAGAGTCCCACAGGGCTCCGTACTAGGTCCCATCCTATTTTTGATCTATGTTAATGATCTCCCTAAACGTCTCCCTATAGAGATTGCCATGTACGCGGATGATGTCAATATCTGGGGCACAGAAGCATCCCAAGTGCAGTCGGCGGGTGGCCAAACAAAAAATTGGTCAGTCAACTGGAGCTTACCAATCAGTGACGAAAAATGTGCAAGCATTACCTTTGGTAACGCTCCTGGTTAACCTTTCTGGGTTCAGCGGTTCAACCCGTATCCAACTGGTGGATCAGCACAAAATTCTTGGTTTCTTGCTGAATAGCAACCTCTCCTTTTCTTCCCATAACCAAAAGGCCAGTAAAACCGCTCTTTGTATTCTTAACCTTATCAAACGATCTTTCCCGCGTATAACCAAAGAGGACTTCCCTTTCATCTGCTCCAACTTCTTCACTGACCTTGACCTTGACGATGCGCGGTCAAATTTTGTCGTGGGTAATTTCTGTGGATTTCTAGGAATTATTGAAGTCTCTATAGGAATTTTCAGAGTAATTTTACGTTTTGATTGTTGCGTTAGCTGTTAAGTGGTACTATATTAGTGTATCGTTGCTTATACTACTGTTTCACTCCATTTTTACTCCCATTTAAACGTCTCAGCATATCATTAGACCATAATAGTTCCTAGATTGGCATTTCTAATTGCTTTTGGTATCATCAAGCCTGCTCTGGACTGAGCAAAATAGATTTTTAAATACATATTGTACACAAATCCCTCAGATGAATCTGTCGGCATTTCACTGCTCTTGCAGATGAATGCTCACGATTCCTCCGGGATCGTCTTAACCGTTCTTCAACGGATAGACCAGACGCGAGAAGAAACTCCCCCGTAAAGGGACTCCAAGGTAACGACGCTGTGGCCACGAATGCGAGGAAGAGTGTGGGAAAAGGTAAAAATCGCATTCATGAAGCCCGCGCAACTAAAGTAACGAACAGGCCGAGCGGGAAGGTAGTTGACGTTACGCTTACAGTAGAGCTGGCAATACTGAAGGAAAGAGTTCGGCAATTGGAAGCAGATATCAAGAGTGTCAAACTCCAGGGGCTAGATAACAGACGCCTACTGCTGCACAACTGCCGCAATCCAGTCGTCAGCAACCGTAAAATCAGGCAAGAGGGGGATGGACGACACGTAATAAATATAATTAGAATGACCGAATTGCCCGCGACAGTCCCTATCGTCAAGTTCCACCGCGTGGGTCTTTGGCGAGCTGTGCAACTATGGCTGCCGAGGCCAATAATGATAATGTTCCCTACCATGTACTGGAGGGATCAACTGTTATCTAGAGCGGGTACGATCAAAATACAAACCGACGACCGAATCAGCGTCACGTCAAATGTCCCGCCGCACCTAGGGCCACGTATGACATCGAACGTCGGCTCCAATAAGAAGATTAGAATGGGGAGCAAGCGACTTGAGGTAAAAATATCAAAAGTTGAGAAAGTAACGGAACACTGACCCTTGAAGGAGCAGGCGATAGTTCCACCAGGCAGGTCTATTCCGAAGGTACCGCCAGGAGCATCAAAGCCGAAAGAAATAAAACAAAAACAAAAGGCTTCGAATGCCCCTAAACCCAGCAGTAACGACGCGAAGGAAGCTGAATCACGCAGCATCTCCAGCGGAACTGTGGGCCGAGGAAACGGGCCACACCAGCAGGGGAACTGCAATCAGCTTGTGAATAAAGACTCGGTTGGCACTCCAAAATCAGGAGCTGGGCAACCGTGGTAGGTAGTCGAAAACAGATCCGTAATATAGACCAGAAGCCAGTGTCAAGGCCAGAGGGCAGCGGGCTAGACATCAGACTCACCTGCAAGGATGTTACTATTCGACCCAGGGTGCCTCGTGGAACCTCGAGGATACCGTGGTAGCTGCAACATCCGGGTAAAAAAACAGTCAATCGCTCGGACCCTACGTCCGAGGGCACAATTGAAAAACAGTCGTAGTGGGACATGAACTGCAAACGAGTGAACCACAGATTTGGTACACAAATGCTTGCAGCATCCAAGGAAAATGGGGGAATTGGCCACCAGAGTAATAGGGTGTGCAGTAGCTGCCATCACCGAAACCTGGTGGAGCCATAATAATGTAGCTGCACAGCTCGCGAGCTAAATAACCTACAGTCAGGACAGGACGGATTAAAGATTAGGGAGCGGGGCTACCATCCTAGTACATGGAAATTGGGAGGCTCTGTTTAAAATGGATTCTAACAACATCCAGGTCACGCCCTGTTTCGTAAATTTTGACAAAAAACTAGTGTGTATTGTATGTGTTTACCGAGCCCCTCTCGCCATTGAACATGACAACCTATTGAGAAAACTGCGGACAGTGCTCGCTAGAACTAGGAAGTTTGTTATTCTGGGTGACTTTAACTTTGCAGCCATCAACTGGGAGGCTAGCAGCGCGCCCAGAGGATCCACGGATGAAGCATTCCTACAATGGGTACAACTACACGGACTGGTTCATCATGTTACGATGCCAACGAGACACCGAGGGGATCAATCGCCTTCAATACTAGATCTATTGATCACAAAGTGCGAAAAGGATATTAGTGAATTAAGAGTGGAGGTACCTCTGGGCAAAAGTGATCATATAGTGATGAAGGCTTTACTTTCCATACACAAGTATTACCTCCAGAAGCCTCCATTAGGTGTTATGGCAAGCTACGGATAGAAAAAATGAAAAGGGCCTCGGCAACAATGAC